TGTATGTGTGTATGTGTGTGTGTGTGTGTGTGTGTGTATGTGTATGTGTGTGTGTGTGTGTGTGTGTATGTGTGTGTGTGTGTGTGTACATGTGTGTGTGTATGTGTGTGTGTGTGTGTGTGTACATGTGTGTTTGTGTGTGTGTGTACGTGTGTGTGTGTTTCAGTCACATGAGTCGTTTCAGATTTAGACTCAAACTCAATAGAGACAGTTTCAGGTCAGAAGGTCCAGAGTCTCAGACGGTCATGTTGTGCTGCTCGTAGTAGTAGTACTGTAGTATTTGTAGTATTTGTAGTATTTGTAGTATTTGTAGTATTTGTAGTATTTGTAGTACCTTCCAGTTCCAGACGCAGACGGTCATGTCGTGCTGGTATCCGACGCTCACGATGTATTTTCCGTTTGGGGAAAAGGCGACGCAGGCGACGCCGTATTTATGCTCCTGCAGCTCGGCCATCTGAGCGCGCTCAGTAACCTCCCAGACACGCACGGCCGGGACGTGACCGCTCTGAAACACACACACACGTAAACACACACACACAGAGGACATGTGACCGATATATCGATACCGGAGTCCCTGATATCGATACGTCTTCACCACATTTAGAATCACGATAATTTGATATTTTATCACTTTTTAATCTGGAATAAAACTGTGAGATTAACTGTGATTTAAAAAAAACAAAGAAACACGTGAAACATAAAGGTGTGATTTTTGTGGGAGGATTCTGGACTCGTGGAGCCAAACGTCCGCCCGCCCGTCCGTCCGTCCGGGAGTCGGAGCTCAGGTTGTGCGTTTGTGCTGCTGTTTCACCTGAGTTTTTCTCCAAATAAACCTGATCAAACTTTTCTTCACAAATTCTTTTCCTCGTAAATGAAGGAAAACTCTGTAAAACTCCGACTCAGACAAACATGACAACTGTTTCTGGAAGTAAATAATAAAGAAGCTACATGCTAACGGCTACATGCTAAAGGCTAACGGCTACATGCTAAAGGCTAACGGCTACATGCTAACGGCTAACGGCTAACAGTAGAGTGACCAGAATTTCAAAATAAAAAACTGCAACATCCCTGTTTTTTTTTTGTTTTTTTTTGGTGGTTGGTAAAAATAAAATTGTGAATCGAGTGAGTCATTAAATTATTAAATTGTTGAGCAGAAACTGTTCACGACGAACACAAGAGTCAGAACAGTCACGTTTACTTTTGGTCCTTTTTAAGCATCTTTTCTTTATTTTACCTCAACAAATGACAGTTTATGTTTCTCTTTTAGTTTGTCCACACGTCCCTGTTTCCCCGGGGACAGTCCCAGTCCTGTCCCCGTGTCCCCCGTCCCTGCACATTTATACAAAAACACTGATTTGTCTCAGTTTTATACAAAAATGTGGAAGTGGGCTGTGCGGTTCGTTCTGGAGCGAGAAAGCGAAAATACGGAGCAAAAAATTTGTACGGAGAACGGAGAAAACACGAGTAACACACTTTTAAATTTAGGAAATCATCACTAACACAACTGTAAACGTAAAATACAACCATAACTCCCACAAAACTGTCAAATAAGTTTGTTTTTAACTGCGTGAATCTCGGAGATTTGAGTTAAAAGTTTTGCCGAGTAAACTGCAGCTAACGCGACGAAAAGTCCACTCAGACTTTCATATTTGGACAGATTTCCATTAAACACTTGTGGAGTTTCTTCCTCCTTAATCACTTTTTTTCTCCTAACAGAAAAAAAAAGCCCACAGAGTGATTAAGGAGGAAGAAACTCCACGTTTTCACCGACAGGGGGAGCTCCGGGGTAAATACTTCGAGCTAAACTTAAACTTAACAGACACAGTTTGACTCTATTAAAGTTTATATTTACTTACATAAAGCACATAATCTAAGCCTCCAACATTTGCATTTGATTCAGTGAATACACAATCTGCTTTTTACAATCTGTGCATTTTTGTAAAGTGAAAAGTAAATAATCCTTCCTCTGACTGAGATGGGATTTAAGACAGACCTGTGCACACACTGGTATTTTATATTTATACTTATTTATAGACAGTGTTGGGACTAACGCCTTATTAAAGTAATGTATTAAAGTAATGTGTTGCTTTTTGCTGTAACACAGTAATGTTCAACATTACAGGGGAAAAAATAGTAATATTTGACTCGGTACAAATGTGAGTAACGCGCGTTACAAAGTTTTTTTAACCTGGATTGAAGTGGTGGGTTTTTCTTCATAGAAATTCACTAAAATCACCGCGATATCAGCAGTGGGGAAACGCCGGAGACACGTAGACCGTCAGGTGACCACAGGCGAAAGGACCGACACAGAACTTTACGCTGTTTAGTCCTGGTTTAGACCTGGGTCAGTCCTGGTTTAGACCTGGGTCAGTCCTGGTTTAGACCTGGGTCAGTTCTGGTTTAGACCTGGGTCAGTCCTGGTTTAGACCTGGTTTACAGTCATCCAAAGTGCTGTGTGTTTGCAAGTTTTCTCCCCGACAAAACACAAATCGACGAAACG